TGTGAGCTATTATCTTTTGCATTAACTAAGTGCTCATTTATGTACTCAGTGATACTGTGGTAGTCTTGTAAGGAGAAATGTATGGCTCTGTGATAATCTATTTACATTTGTAAGCAAACAACTAATGTGACCTAGTGGTTGAAGAGTTCTGAACCAAATTTGACCCATGGTTCCAAAGCTTGATGATCCCTTTACTACAGAAAAATTGGAAGAGATGAGAGAACAGTTATTAGAGGCTTTAGAAATCGGACTCGGGAAAAGGAGTTGTTGAGATAATTTAGCTTAAAAAGAAAAGATTAAAAAAAAAGTAATTTCCTGGTCTGTGTATGAAGAGATATAAACATAAGGAATGGAAAGATGTTTTAAAGTACTGGTTACTAAGTTTATAAGTTTTAAGAAGAGAAATTTAGCTCCTTTCTTTTGTTTTGGTAACTAAGTCAGGAAGACCAGAGCTAATTCCTATTCCTAACACACAGAGACTGCTTTACCTGAGAAAGTCACCTCAGTGCCCCAGGTTATTTTCTCATGTTCCTCGCAATAATCCTAGAGAGGTTCCATTTTATAGATGAGGAAACTGAGGCAAATAGGTTAAGTCACTTGCCTGGGATCATACAATTAGCAAGTGTCTGAGGCTGGTATTTAAACTTAGGGTTTCCTGACTTCAGGCCCTCAGTTCTATCCACTGTGCCAACTAGCTGCCCAGCCAGATTATTTTCTAAGAGTATAAATTGCAGAACAGGTCTTCATGTATAGAGGGAGGTTTCTGGGTTTTTTTTTTCCCACTGGGGAGGTCCCCATAGCAATGAAATCATAAATCTATGCTAAGGAATAATATCTGACATTTTGATGCATAGCACGTTTAGGATGCAAAGTGCTTTATGTATATTATAATTTGAGCTTCATAACAGGTCTGTGAAGAAGATTCTACAAATAATGGGAAAACTGGGGCTCAGAAGACATAAAGAACTTAACCACAGTCACCTAGCTGGTAAATGTGAAAGGCAAGTTTTTTTTGTTTGTTTTTTTGTGTGAGGCAGTCAGGGTTAAGTGACTTGCCCAGGGTCACAGCTAGTAAGTGTCAAGTGTTTGAGACCAGATTTGAACTCAGGTTCTTCTGACTCCAAGGCCTGAGCTTTATCTGCTGCACCACCTAGCTGCCCCTGAATCCAAGTCTTCTTAACGGCATGGCAGAGAGAAAGCTCTCTTGGAATCCCAGGGCCTAACCCCAAGTGTTCTGAGTTAAATTAAATATATAGAATTGAACTTGATATAAATTGCAAACCAATTAGCACCAACCTTCTTGTGAAAGAATATAAACAACACTTACTAAATCAATAATTTAAATATATTCCCTTAGGGAATAAGAACTCATTAGATTATTACCACATCCCTCCTCTCAAAAATTGTGTATTTCATTAATATAGATGCATTAATTATATATCAAGATTATTTTTGGAGAAATTCAGTCATAAAATGTATGAATAACTAATAACTAGTTAGAAGTTTGAAAGATAAGTTCTAAAGGTTGTTTTTTCATTACATTTTTACTTTAAATATTTTAGGGATGTAAAAGTCCCTCATACCATGAGAAACCAATTGTAGTACCCCAAAACTCTATGGAGCAGTTAGGGGACAAGCTTTTAAAGTAATTATAGGAAAGCAATTGTGAGGACAAAAAAATTGAGTACATAAAAAATAATTAGAAATGTTGGTGTGTAATTAAACATAATCAACAAATATTTAAGTGTCTATTGTGTACCAGGCACTGTTGTGTTCCAGGAATACAAAGAAAGAAGTAAAACAATCCCTGTCCTCAAGGTACTTATTCTAATAGGGAAAACAATATGTGCATATATACAGAATATATACAAAATATACATGCGTAACAGTGGCTGGAGGTTAGAGGGGTTTGGCTAAAGAGGAAACTACAGAGGAAATTTCTAGGAAAGTAGGGGGCAGCTAGGTGGCGCCATAGTGCATACAGTGGCAGGCCTAGAGTCAAGAAGACTCATCTTCTTGAGTTCAAACCTGACCTCAGACATTTACTAGCTGTGTGACCCTGGGCAAGTCATTTAACCCTGTTTGCTTCAGTTTCCTCGTCTGTAAAATGAGCTGGAGAAGGAAATGGCAAACCCCTCCAATATGTTTGCCAAGAAAACCCCAAATGGGGTCACAAAGAGTCAGATACAACTAAAAACAACTGAACAACAACAACAAAAAAGCTCTATGGGGCTTTGTACCCACGAATGTGAAGATAGGGTGTGGGTCAGGAACCTGAAGTCAGTAATTTGAGGTATTGGCAGAATTATTGAAAAAGGCAGAAAATTTCCTAAGACAGGAGAGTTAGTTGGTCAAAGAAGTTCTGAGGGTTTTGGTCTTGGATTCCTGACCAGGTGAGAACTACTTAGTCTAAGCTATTCCCCAAACACAATCCTCTGGTCTTAACAACAGCTAGGATGCCTTCCACTTCCTTCAGGGTTCCTCACCTGTAGTCACAGAACCTGAGTAAAAAGAAAGCTCTGTGTCATCTAGTCCAAGCCAAACCTGAAGAGGAATCCTTTCTGATATTGTTGAAAAATGGTCCTCAAGCTTCCAACTTGAGAGATGAAAGAATGTGGTGGAGAACCCAAGAAGGGTAGCTCTAATTGTCAGGCAGGTTTTCCTGATGGGAGTGGAAATTTGCCTCTCTGTAACTTTCACCTACTGCTACTGCCCCCAGGACAATGTTGTTGTTCAGCCGTTCTGACTTCATGACTCCATTCAGGGTTTTCTTGGCAAAGATACTGGAGTAGTTTGCCATTTTTTTCCTCTAGTTCACTTTACAGATGAGTAAACTGAGAGAAACAGGGCTAAGTGATTTGCCAAGGGTCACACAGTTGGTAAGTAAGTGTCTGAGGTCAGATTTGAACTCAGGTCTTCCTGACCCCATGCACTCTATCTACTGTTCCACCTAGCTGCCCCAAATTTATCTTAGTGTCCCCCATATTCTGTGCAGCTTTTTCAACCCCAGTGAAGTCATCGCAATTATCTCCATTAACTCTTACCAGGTAATGTGAAAGAGTGGATAGCTAGTTGGCCTTAGAACCAGAAAGACCTGAGTCCTAGTATATACACCAGCTGTATGACCTTGGGCAGGTGACATAACTTTTAAGGTCCCTAGGCAGCTCTCAAAGACACTTAAGTGGTGGAGAAGGTGCTGAACAATATTAGTAATGGGATTTTTTTTTCATCTGGAATCCCCTATGCCAATGGAATCACAGATATAGTCTCTATCCCTGCCCCTACTCCCTAAATTTGACCTATGCTAAATAGGACTTATCATTCTGGTTTTGATCAAGGACTTTTGGGATATTGACTTTGTAGTCAGTGTTAGATATTCCTCCCAATTTTATGTGATCCGCAAATTTGACATGTGCTCCCTTCCTGTGCCATAGGAGCATTCATGTAGGCATCTGAAGAGGGAGTGACATTGTTTGGCTGGACTGTTTGGCTGAAACCCACGCTCTGTCCACGTGTGGAACTCACAGACTACTGTTGTTGTTTATCCTTCCTTCTCGAAGAGGACAATGACATTAGGAGGGAGGACATTCCAGGCAGGGAGGGTAGCTTGTATGAATTCAAAGCAAGGGGAGATGGAACTTCAAATCTGTGGAATGCCTGGTAGTCCAGTTTTGCTGAAACATAGAGTATATGAAGTAAAGTAATATGACACAGAACTGGAAAGATAAGTGGGAACCAGATTGTGCAGATATCTAGAACAGTTATCTCTATTTTATCCTAGAGGAAATAGTAACCTATTGAAGAATTTTGAGCATGGTCAGACTTGGGCCTTACTAACATATTTTTAGCAACTGAGGATAGAATGGAGAAAATACTAGAAGGAGAGTGACCAATTAGAACCTGTAATAACAGTACAGACAAGAGGTGATAAAGGCCTAGAGCCTTTGGAATGAGGAGAAGGTATTATTTTTTTAATTAATTAATTATTAGTTTTTAACATTCACTTTTTTTTTTTTTGGTGAGACAATCTGGGTTAAGTGACTTGCCCAGGGTCACACAGCTAATAAGTGTTAACTGTCTGGTCTGAGGCTGGATTTGAACTCAGGTCCTCCTGACTCCAGGTCTGGTGCTCTATCCACCTAGCTGCCCCTGCAACATTCACTTTTATAAGATTTTGAGTTCCAAATTATTCTCCTCTCCCCTTCCCCAAGATGGCATGCAATCTGATATAGGCTATACATGTACAATCATATTAAACATATTTCCACATTAGTATGTTGTGAAAGGAGAATCAGAACAAAAGGAAAAATCACAAGAAAGAAAATACAAAACAAAAAGAAGAGAAAATAGTATGTTGTGATCTGCATTCAGACTCCAAAGTTCTTTCTCTGGACATGGATAACATTTTCCATCATGAGTCTTTTGGAATTGTCTTAGATCATTGCATTGCTGAGAAGAGGTAAGTCTAACAAAGTTGGTCATCGCACAATGTTGCTATTACTGTGTACATCTCCTGGTTCTGCTCAAGAATGAGGAGAAGGTAATCTTCACTCAACTGCCTTCTCAGGCCTACCTCTGAAATCCACTGAGGCTGTAGCAACTTACCATAGGCTGGCATACAGAGTGAGAGAATACCCACTTTCCTGTGTATCCCTCCCCCCAAAAAAAGAGTTTTGTCTAGTCATGGTTAAAATAATAATGCAAAGGAGACACAACAAACAAAAAGCAATTATTCTGTTTTGCAGGATAGCAGAAAGAAACAGGGACTTAGTATGAAAAATAAGGAGAAGAATGCCAAGCCACTATCTGAATTTCTCATTTTGTTTTGCCAGTGGTGACAGGAGTGACAGGATGAATTCACTGGTATTGTCCATAGATGGAAAAAATATCTTAAATTGTGACTTTGCCAAGTCTGGCAATTTTATCCTCTACAGGCTTTCTAATCCTTTTATGCATCTCCATGATATCTTTGCCTGATTTTTTAAAAAATTTCTTCCTAGGATTTGCTCTGCTTGGAGGACATCCTTGTTTCCTGACGACCCAAGATATCCATTTGGGAGTGAATGAAAGTCTCACAGACACTGCACGGTTTGTAAACAAATCTTTATTAATCTTTTCCAAATGTGGATTTAGAATATGTCTGGATCACTCTCTTGAAACAAAATTATTGATACCTTTGTAAGTGATTTTGATAAGGTGTTTTTGTTTTTGTTCAATAAGTTAACAAGCATTTATTAAGTTCCTACTACGTGTGAGGCACTGTGTCAATCCTAGATATACAAGAAGCAAAGTCAAACATTTTCTGACCTCATGGAGCTTACATTCTATTGGGGCAAATAACATATATATAGGTAGGGTATATGTGACACAATACAAATCAAATAGGGGACACAGGCAAGGCTTTGTACAGCAGAGATGTTCTCCCTACTCTCTGCCTGTAGCGAATATCAAAACTGAAGAGCAGCTAATTGCAAAAGCTCTCCCACTGGAATATTTAGAGGAGTCAAATAGTGAGGAGAGGGCTGGTATATACTAAGATGAATATTTAATGTGAATGTTGCTGGATAGACTGTTTGATGTAGGCCATTCTACTTTTTGACAACTCTAATTGTTAGGAGGGGTGTATGGGAGTGTTCAGGAAGACCAGCACCTCTGGTGTGAGGGCTTGCCAGGTCCTTTTCAGGGCTGCTCAATCCACCTTTGGTGTCCACCTTTCACTCAGCTCTCACCTGTGGCTCCAACAAGCTGTAGCATAAGCAGCAGCCCCACTCTGGTAAACTGTCTCAGCAGGTGGGCTAAACCACATTGAGGGTAACCAACAGGCCTCAAACTCATTGGTTAGTTAGAGGGATGTCAAGTATGTGAAGACTTGCCCTGCCAGAATGGGTGGATGAGAACAGCCATCAAGGCTGGTCATTGGATGCAGGAACTGTGAAGTGCTTAGAGTTTGGTCAGACATGGAAGACACCAAGGTCATCCACTGTATCCTGGACCATCGCCAGTCATCTTGAATTTTGTCCTGCCACTGGACTTCAATGACTCTGGAGTAGAGAGCAAAGCTGACAACTTTGTGCAACTCTGCCTCACTTAAATTCAATTCATGCCCAAGTCAAGGCATCATCTAGTGATGTCATGGGTCCTCTTCAAAAATGAAGAAGAAACAGCAATTGTTAGGAAATTTCTCCTGATGTGAGGCCTAAATTTGCTTCTTTGCAATTTCCATTCATTGCTTTTGGTTATGCTTTTGGGGTCAAACAGAACAAATATAATTCTCCCTCCATGACAATCCTTCAAATAGTTGAAATCAGTTATATAGAATCCTGAATCTTCTTTTTTCCAGGCTAATCATGCCCAGTTCCTTAAATGGGTTCTCATATGATATGGACTCAAGGCCCTTCTTCATTCTGCTAGCTTTCCTCTAGACATTCTCCAGTCTCACAATATCTTTTTTAAACAGTGATGCCCCAAATAGGACATTCCAGAAAAGGTCTAACAAAAGCAGAGAACAGTGGGATCATTACCTTCGTACTCCTGGATGCTATGTCCATCTAAATGCATATCATATTAGCTTTTTTAGCTACTTCATCACACTCCTGACTCATATCTAGCTTTCAGTTTACTAAAGTCTCTAGGTTGTTTTTTTCTGGGGTGGGGGGGAGGGTGATTGCTTATGCCTCCACCATTTCATACTTGTGAAGTGTGTGGTTTTGTTTTTTTTTTTTTTGTATGACTACATTTATTACTACATTACTGGAGTTTATCTTATAATATTCAGACCAATGCTCTATCCTACTGGATCCTTTTGGATCCTGACTCTTTTGTCCAGTGGGTTAGATAGCCCTCTTAACTCTGAGTAACTGCAGATTCAATGCATAACATCTATGTCTTGATAAATATGTTAGACAGAACAGGGCCAAATATGAATAGAAGCCTGAGGTACTCCATTGGAGACCTCTTGCCATGTTTATACTGGACACCTGCTCTAGCTACCCAACCCAGTTCTGAATCCATCAAATTATTATTTTCTAATCCATATCTCTTCATCTTCTCCACAAAAGCAGTATACGTTACTTTACCAAAAGCATTGCTAAAATCTAGCTTAGGTCAGGTTGCTGTTCTTTGTCCTTGGTTCCTGAAGAGGACCAAGACATCAAGGAAGTGATGCCATGACATGCAAGTGAATTGAATTTAAGTAAGAAGGGCTGAACTTAGGTCAGGGAAAGAATTTATAAAGAACGTATATGCCAGGTACTGTGCTAAGTACTGGAAATACAAATACACACAAAAGGAAAGATAGTCTTTGCCCTCAAGGAGTTTATATTTTAATGAGGGGCAGTGAATAACCTATAAAGGAGAGCTGAAAAGCAAGGGGGCAGAGAGAAATACTAGACTGGGGACAAGGCATAAATGTTCATGACCACCAGTTTAGAAGTGAGCATGGTTCACTTTCTCAAATGAGAGTCCCAGGCAAGAACTCACCAATTAGAGGAAGCAGCTGACGAGGTCAAGGCATCTCCAAATGAGAAGGAAAGATATTTGGGGTGGGTGTATAAAAGTCAGGAGAGTCCAGAGCAGAGTCAGATGAGAGGTCAACACACTATATCCACAGAATTCCCCTCATTTATTAGTTTCCTCTTAGAACAGGAAGTAAGGTTAAGCTGGAGGAAGATGAGAATTCCTGAAAACAAGGAATAATAAGAAAGATTGGAGAACCAAAATAATGTTGTGTCACAGAAGAGATATCCAAAAAGGAAATACTTTCAAGGTCAACAGAGTCAACAGCAACAATAAGACAAGGAAATCGAGAATAGAGAAAAAGAAATAACAGTTGGTTTTTTTTAATACTGTATGGAATGTCCTGGCATGGACTCTGTTCCATCTTTGTCTTCCTCAAACTCTGCCTATTGGCATTTTGAGCAGCCTCCTCAGAAGGCCTTCAGGATAGCAAATAGCTTTGCCCTTTGTAGCCTTTAGCTTCCTCTTTGGGGAGTCAAATAACCTTGTTGCATTTCCACCCAAGACAGGAATTCCACTTGCTGATGATTAGAAAAACCCTGAGGGGAGGGGAAAGGTAATCTCCTCTGGTGGCCAAGGTGCAGCAAGCATATACAGAATAGCGAGGCTACCTTCATACAAGGATGTTTGTGGAACACAAAGATTCAGTGCTGACAGATGAGGGAGTTGGCTGCCAACAAGAGACTGAGAGCTCTAAGAGCTCATAGGAGGTCAGGAAACTAAATTGCAGGTGGTGCGAGGTAGATTAAATCACCCCAGCTCCCCTGATTTTTATCTTCTTATTGTGATGGCTTATATCCCCACTTCTTCCTGCCATCTCCAGAAACATTAATTGCCTTTGCTGGATGAGTCTTGGAGAAGTGTTCTGATTCAGCTATCCCAAGCTGGTCCACAGACACACTGTACTTAAATGTTCAAACTTACAAAGATATAGATTTGCTTATTCCTTTTCACTTAGCAAACACCTTTTCCCATGTCAGGCTGACCTCTCCTACTGACCTACACTTTGATTTTCCACATCTTTTCTTTTCCCAACCAAAAAGAAAGAAAAAAGCATGACACTCATTCTTCATCAGTACTTTGACTGAAGACTAATTTTATATAATTTTCAGGTTCTCCTACTCATTTGCGTCAGTAAAAAGCCTACCCTGGGGTGCAGGGGATAAAAGTTTCCTTTGGAGTCAAGAAGGTCATAGAATCATGGATTTAGAACTAGGAGGGACCTTACCCTCCCCTCCCCATTTCACAGATGAGAAACCTGAGCTCCCCTCCCCATTTCACAGATGAGAAACCTGAGGCCAGAGAAGGTTAAGTGAGTTGCCAAGGTCACCCAGAAATGATATTTGAAAAGTCCAAGTTTTTTGATCTTAAGTCAGTGACCTTTTATTGTATTCAAATCTAAGCTCTCAGACATTCTGGTTGTGTCATCCTGGGCAATTAACCTCTCTGGGCCCCAGGCGATATGTTAACACTTTAAGTTGCCAGCTGATCTGCAGTGGTAAGAGGGAGTTTCCTCACTTGACTAAATGAAATCACAGGTCTCATCTAAAACCAAATTGTTTCCTTTACTGTGCTTATGCATCTCCTCTTACCTGAGCTCAGATCCAACCTGTTTCAAAAGTTGGCACCTTCTTCAAAGTGCTAGAAGTATTCTAAGCAACCAAAGAGAGTTGCCCATTATTCTGCCACAGAATATTAGGGACCCGGATGAGAGCTAGGAGAGCTTTCAAGGCAGCTGAATGGAGTTTTCAAGCATAGTAATTAAAGCCCTGGCCCTGAAGTCAGAAAGATCCGAGTTCCGGTTTTACTACTTATTGGTTGTGATCCTGTGCAAGTCAATTAACCTCTGTCTCCATTTCCTCATCTATAAAACAGGGATAACAATAGTACCTACCTCACAGGGTTGTTGTGAGCATAAAATGAGATATTTGTGAAAACGTTTAGTCCAATTCCTGGTACATGGTAGGCACTATATAAATGCTTATTTATTTCCCACTCCTTCACCTTAGCTTTCGATTCAGTGGAGTGGTAGCAGTTTTGACCTGACTGTTGACAGTTTGGCTCTGAACACAGAGACAGAAACTTAGTTACTAAGTTGTTCAGTCAGATCCAGGACATATATCAATCTCATGGCCCCCAAAAATGTATAAAATAAAAGGGATATAAAAAAGAAATAGAATGCATATACGCTATGAAATCCTTTAGCATTGAAGGAAGATAAGATTAATTCTATCTGTCCTTGTTCCCCTTATGAACTCATTCATCTAAGCCTGAGACCATAACATTTTATAATAACCATGCTGTGCAAATTGTTCTGTAGTTCTATATTTGGGTTAGGATGGATAATGCAAATGCAATAAACATAAGGAATGAGGCCTAGTTTTGCTAATGCCAGTGAAAGATGGTCATGATTGCCTGAAGGTGTGCAGCCATGTTGCACCATGAGCAAACAGATCTCTCTCTCTCTCTCTCTCTCTCTCTCTCTCTCTCTCTCTCTCTCTCTCTCTGTCTCTCTCTCTCTCTCTCTCTCTCCAACAAAAATGCAAGTAGACAGAAGTTAAGAGCATCAGTAG